TGCCTTACTGCTAAATGATGAACTAGCACTTGGCTGAGCCCTCAAGGGTTAACACATTGTTAACACAATGTAGCCTCACACTCTACAAGGCAGCACTAATGGAGGGAGGGGAGACAGCATGGTAGACAGAGACACACACCTTGTGTGTGTGTGTGTGTGTGTGTGTGTGTGTGTGTGTGTGTGAGAGAGAGATGAGCATTGTCCCTTTAAGTACAGTGACCCCATTCTAAGTACATTGCCTTTTTAAGTAGATCAGCAAGTTGAGACTGCAGCTGTTGGCAGCAAGCTCCCTCCATCCTGAGCCCTGTTGTGTGTCTCTTCTCTCCCCCCCCCCCCACACCGCTCTATGGAGATGGAGTAGGCAAGAGCAGGGGGGAGGGGGACACCCTACATTAGCCCTCCTCCTTTCTCCCCTCTTCCCCCTCCCCCCCCCCAAGCAAGCAGGAGGCTCCGGGGAGCAGCTCCAAGGCAGAGGGGAGGAGCAGCACATGGCGGGGGGGGGGGGGACAACTGAATTGCTGGCAATTGATAGCCTGCTGGGCGGCTGCCACACAGGGAACTTAGAGGAGCAGGGAGCTGATGGGTGGGGGGGGGGCAGGAGGGCTGCTGGTCCACCCTGGTTCCAAGCCCCCACCAGCTAGCGCCAACGGGCTGCTCTTTCTGCAAGCAGTGGACAAAGCAGGCAACTGCCAAACAACGTTGTAAGGGAGCATTGCGCAATTTTAAACAAGCATGTTCGCTAATTGATCAGCAACGTAACAATGAAACAACGTTAACCGGAATGACTTTAAGTGAGGAGTTACTGTACATATATCTCGAGTCTCTTGGTCACTCTCACCAGAAACAAAGATCAACTGTCCAGGACTAAAAGAGGAAAAAAAATACAATTACATGTGCTCTGGTTCAGTGCCAATAATGCAGATTTGATATGGCGGTAATGCATTTTGAATTTACACTTTCCCAAGTACTTGGAGCCTTGCCAAATATATTCACAACAAGAGAATAATTGGAAGCCGTGCAATTGATCTTGAAAGCCCATCTAATCTTAAGGGATGAAAATACAGTGCTATGAGAATATTATAGAAGTTGTTTACAGTGAGGAATAGGAGGTAGATTGGACTTTCTTTTAATTTGGATGTTCAAATATACCAGCTAAAAAGTGATAGGCATGATGCCATTTTAGGAGAAAAAGAAAGACTTCTCTGCACCAAAAAGTAGAGCTTGAAGTCTTATTAAGTGCTGTGTTTTTTTTAATATTTAGATGAAACCATATTACAGACGAGGATACAGAATCTGTGGAACTTCTCCTGAGATGTAGATTTTTCCTAAGAGAAATCCAAACCTTATTCAACTAAGAGATTAAGGTATTAATCACTGTTACCAGAGTGCCAGTCATGAGCAAAACCATAAGTTCAAAATCTAAGAACAGAGCTTTTAGGGTTAACATACCTATAGAAATGACAAAAGTGAATCATTAGATATGATCTCTAATCTATCTCTAGCTTCAGTTGTAATTCTAATCACATGTAAAACCCACTTAAGTCATTCTCCACAACCAAAGTTAGGAGATATGCTTATAGAATAGGGTGAGACTAAGGTGAAAATCCAGCAGTGAAATGTGTGTGAAGACAGTCCAGCAAAGAGCAATCAAATTCCCTTGGCCCCTCATCAGCATCAAGTAATGATTCAGTTCCAAAACAAAGTCGTCATAAGAAAAATAAAGCATCACTGTTGGTTTATGGAAGTTAATGTATCTCTCCTCAGATAGGTAGCTTGTAGTACATGTACTATGCACAAATGTTATGAATATAGGCTATCAAATTGTGGAGAGGAAACACACCCAGGGCTAGTTGAGCATGCACAGAGCATTTAGTTTACTGCTTAATATGTTCATGAATTACATCAAAGACTTATCTACATCTTTCTTCTTGAAGGTGGGGAAAACTCAAAACCAAATGCCTTCTGTTTTAAAGCATCCATGCTCCCGTTAATTTCATCTTATTTAGCAAGTAATATATCTGATAGACAACATTACAGAAAGCCAATCTGATCAAGGAGAGCAATCTACATATTTTCCGTAACTGCAGCTTTATACATCAATCCTCAACTGTATGGAAAATAAACTAGAGTGATTAGTTCATATTACTAGACTGTTGTGTACACACAGTTCCCCACAAAACAGAAAAGCTCTACTATGCCTACAAAGGCCTTTTTTTTTTTTTTTTTTTTTTAAATTGGGAAGTGGTCCCCTCCCAGAAAAGGATTATTAGCTAAAGTAATGGGATCTAATGCTGATAAGGAAAAACAATGGAGACATGTAACAAATAAAATGAAAGGACACTTCCTCTGTCTGCTATATCACATTTACTGAACTAGTGCTCTGGAACAGGCAGTGGTTGCACTGTTATGATAAGATTAGGCAGCTCCTTAGTCTTTCCGTTGTGGCACATGGTTTTCCCAAACTTGGCCTGCCAAGTAAGACAGCAATGTGCAAAAGCAAAAACACCCCTTGCCACACACACAATAAACACATGCCGACTGGGAACTATAGCAACACCCTTGTACGTTTTGTTTCATTGTCTTGGATGCAGCTAGCAAGAGAGCCAGTAGTGGCTACTGAATGGGAAAAATGATCACATTGTTTCTTCTGTTTGGGGCCTGACTTCTGGCAATAGGGTGCTCTCTGACAACACTTGAAGCCTTACGCTTGGGTATCCTTGGCTGAAAGGCACTTTAGAAATGCAAAAATACGTTCATTCAACTTCTAGTTAGGATAGAAGATACATTCATGTCACTTACAGCTACACTGGTAAAACTTATGATTTGGGGACTTTATTTTTAATATTGTTTAAAAAGTTGAAACAATGTAATACCAATAGGATCTTTTGGTCTTAGGCATTCGATTTTTTTTTTAATCCTACCTCGTCTTGGATGTCTTCTGTGCATTACTCCAAACTTTGCATAAAAATGTGATCCTAGCACAAGATCTAATTGTCTTTCTTTGACAGAAGTGAAATTGTAGGTGGCTTCATTGGGCTTTAGGGAGGGTGTGGGTTGTCAAAATGGGAAACTAGGGAAAGACTGGCACCTCAGTAACAGTGAGCAAAACCAAAGCTCTTCCCTTTCCAAGATGGGTGGATGAGATACTCCTTTTGCAAACTAACAGCTGGAAAACAGTGAAGGTGCATTTTGTCACTGGTGGTGCTATTTGGCCAACACCCTTCAGAAAAACAAGGGTAGCAAATTAGAATGTGTATTTAAAGTAACTGTTTAGGTGCTGACTGCTCCAACAGGACAAGTAGTATGATTGGAAATACATACTCCTTACAAACTTAAAAGTACAATAGTGTCTCACTCAGCAGCATGGGACATAAAAACAAAAAATTAAACAGACACAGAACTACCTTTTAATAACATCTACCCTTAAGGAAAGAACACTAAGTATTTGGCACAAGTGGCCCCCTCACTGCTTGTTTCTCAGATGTCCAGGACTTTACAGGAACAGATTGTGAAGGGTGTTGTCACTGACCATCTTTTCCAGTTAGAAAAGTAGCAGCATGTGGAACTGGAACTAGTTTCATAGAATTGTATTCCTTATCCTACTGTGAAATGTTTGCATGGTGTGGAACCATTCACGCCATCCTCTTACTGCTGAAAATCAAAATGTGAATGTGCAATATTGCTTCTGAGTCACTGCAGTAAACAGTAGCCACCTTGCTGAAGGTGCTCCACCATTGCAATACTTTACCAGCAAGTACTCCAAAGTACCTGAATAAAGCAGATTTGTTTACAAAGTTAGTGGACAGACATGTACGTTTTGAACACTTTGTGATATTTAATAAACACAATGTACAGTGAATTATGATAACATGAGCTACTCAGTAAGTTGAACAAGACAGTAAGTGAGCCACAGACTACATATTGTACTACAGAAAGCATACATTGAAATAATTTTTATGGACTGAATGGATCTTTCTGTGTTGTAAAATGCAGGTTTAGATTTTTTTTTTTTTAATTAAATTTGATCCACTGGCAACTGACCCATCCATCCTGGTCTCAAAAACTGACTTTAATTGATTAATCTATGTTGTACCACCTCACCACCCAACAGCACGACAAAACATTAAAAATAAGCTAGTCCAGCAGTCAGAACTAAGCAATGCATAGATGAATCTACTTGCCTTTCAAATTTTACCGCAAAGGTAGTGTCCGTTTCCCAGTGGTATGATCTTAGGGGGGAAACACTGGAAACTGGGGGTAGAAGATAGTAGAGGAACACTAAATCTTTAAACTAGCCCGACTGAAGCAGACTGGACTTAAAGCATGCTACAACTGAAGACAGTATGGAATTACAGGAAAGGAGTGAGAGACCCTTTTCCTTTTCTAAACTAGGGTATGTGAGTAACTCTACCCCGATTGGGGCCTAACTGCTGAAAAGGAACAAAGTATGGTCTTTTCCTGGGCTCTAAAACATCTTCCATGTTCTACATTTTCAACCCTTCCATCTGGAATGTCCAGTTAAGATCAGTTTTAGCATGGGGCAAGAGTGGTTCTTTTGTGCAGATGCCTCATGCATAAAAATGTTAATCTCAAAATTAAAGAAATAGATAGATAGAAATTCAATTGGAATATCCCACTTACTTACAATAAGATTCCCTCTGCCCCTCCCCCCCCCAAAAATGGAAGTGCTAAGTGATTGTGCATTTCATCTCTTGGGATAGGTGAGTTGGTTGCCACCTTTTCAGCCCTTTACTTACTCAGGACGGCAACAAATAGGAAGTTTCTCTTACGTAGACCTCCACCATACACCGCTAGCAGAAGCAATCATTTCTAAGGGAGAAAGAGAGGAGGTACTCTGACACCATCAAATGGTTATGGACTGATGAAAATCAGTAACAGCACTAGTGGATTGTTTTTGTGACAGTCACTTGTCCACAACAACTGGCCTAAAACTAGCAACTTTCTTAACTCGTACTGCTAAACATTTTGTATAAAGTGTAGCCATTACTTTATGTATCTTCTAAGCACCACTATCCCTCCTATCTGCAATGGCAAAACTCTGCTTCCCTGTTCCTTATAACCAGAGGCAGAAACCAATTTGGTTTGAGAGGAAAAAAAGAGGCTAACAATAAAACATCTGACTGCATAAAAAATGCTTGAAAGGACTAATATTAAACAAAACAAAACCCCCTCTTCTCTCTACCATCTGTTGAACAGTGCAGAAACAGATGCTTGTTCGTAAAGGTGTTGTATATTAGCATCTACCACTTCCGTCTGTTTTGCCAGACACACAGGTAGTGTATTGTGCTACTCCACAGAATGGAATTTGGATTTTCTGCCCACTCCCTCAGTTATTTTGCCAACATCAGTTGGAAGCATCACTGAGGTGATGCATGCTATTTCGAAGGGATGACTATACATCTACATTGGTGCCCTCTTGTGGCTAACTGAGCCTATGCCTTGAGATGGAGCCAGTTCAGAAAAAAAATTAGAATGATCACAGAGAAGGCCTGGGGTACAGAGTCCATTTCAGGGAACAGAGGAGAAAATGCAACGTCAAGTGTTCATGGAACGGAATTAGCTCCCTACCCAGTTACAGTCAAGAGGGGTAAGTAGGAAGAGCTGGCAAAAGATGGGGAGGAGGGAATGCATTTTACTTAATATTTTTCTGTAAAAGTTGGTCATGAAATAGGAGGGGCTCAGCTATAGCTATAAATGACTCTTAATTTTCAAACCGGCTCCAGAACAGGCAAGGAATTCATGTTTTAAATAGTTTTAGTTTGCAGGAGCTATTAATGCACACAGTTTAAAACAACAAAAACGGGTGCCACCTTTGTAAATGCCACTGTTAATTTGCACCTGTCACCTTGATTTTTTCTCAAGCTTTAATTCTCAAGTGATTTTTTCCCTTATCTAACTCATCTCCCCAAATTCCCACTTTTCTGCACCTACCATTCTAATTCAATCTGTTTCTATGTACCTCACTGTCCATTGAAACAGGCCTTATCAAAATCTTTGAGCTGTGGCAAGTTATCCTAAGCTTTCTTGTTTTAACAGGAAAGGGTTAGCTGTGGCAGCAGGTCACCTATTTAGCTATCTCTTGTATCATCCACCTGGAATCAAGTTAAGAGTACAGGAGATTGTTCAGCGTGTTATTTGAGGATATTGTCAGGAACTCTGTCTTGGCTTTTGTCCAAGGCTGACTCTAACAGTCAGAGCAGTAAGGCAGATTGCAATCTCCTCTCCCGAAAACAGCATTTTCCCCTTTTGAATATACTATCTAACATACTCATCTGCAGCACTTTACACCTGCCTTAGCTTCTGTTTATTTTGCACCATCAGTGCCTCTGCTTTGACTTCTCCTTCACCTATGTGTTAAGTATTAACCCTTACTGAGATGTAAGGTTATGGGTTCAGTGTCCTGAGCGTACTGTGAAATGTACAGATGAAGGCCAAATGCCTCTAACTGTGTAAGATTATAGTGTACATAACAATTACTTCCTACACTTTGCCTGTAGTCCTAATTAGTCATTTAACTTTTCACCTGAAGCTAAGTGGAATGGCATTTCCCATTTCCCCCTCCCACATCATGCCATTATACTTCTACCCTTGCTGTAGCTGTTGGTGTGTGTATATGTGGGGAGGGGGACCTATGGTTATTTTTTTGGGTGGCGGGGCAAAGGAATCTCATTCAATTTTTGTCTAGGCACATCTGACAATAGATGCTATATTCACTGATGTCAATCTTTTTGAATCCTTATGCACAGCTGTTTCCTTGAGAAACTTTGCCAAAAGTTTGTTTGCCTGGTATATAGCACAGAGAGCTATCATACGGTAAAAAACCAACACATGATTTAGCACCACAGTAACAGGGTTTTTTCATTACATCATCTTCCTCCAACATTTCCTGCTCTCTTTTGATTAGCGGTACGTTAAGAAATCTTCCAGAATAATCATATGAAAGTTCTTCTCCAGCAGAGATAGCAGCAGCAGCAAAAAGTGCCAGTTTGGGCACCAGTGAGTCAATTCGGACAGGAACCATAAATAAATTTGGCTCACAAGAATGGTTCAGGAACCTGCCTACATTTCCTGTATTCATAGGATCAACAAATGTCTCTATTATCTGTCCATCATACAAGTGTTCCCTCACAGCTATAATATAGTTTGAATCCTCTGGTGTCTGTGCCTGTATTCTTCTACATGCCTCACGGAAGCATAGAACTTCACCAGCATATTCACACACAAATCTTCCTTTAGGTATGAACTCCAGTGTGCGGAGACCCCACCCCTTCTTAACAGTCTTGAACACCTCAAGTCTGAATTGTAAACCCCTCTGAATAACCCTGTTTTGACAGAACTCACCACAACGGCACATGGCATTGCATTCAAAAATAGGCCTAGTATAGTCCACTTCACTTCCTATGTATTTGATGCATGAATTGTTATAGTTTTCACCATGGCGAAGACACGAACAAGTGTTGGCCACGCAGGAAGCAGTAAGACAATTACATCCTGGAAAAGTGATTTCAGAAGGGTCAGTGTCTTCTCCTGCTCCCGCCACGTGCTCTGGGCTATACTGCAAAGAGATGATCACAAATTAAAATCATTTTGATAACTATACTCCCCTTCACAGAGACAAGCACAACTTTTCTCATTTAAAATAAAGGGGCCAGATTTTCAAAAGAACTTGACCTCCAGGAGCTTCCAGTGAGACTAATGGATAGTGGACACTTTTGAAAACCTGGCCCCCCAAAAAGCACATACTAATCAGGTCACTACAATATTACATTCTTGAGATCTGTGTCCTGTAAAGACGGGGGGAAAATTAATACACCTTATTTTTTTGTTTAACATCTCCCAGGTGCCTAATAGTGATAACTGCCTTTCAAATGATCACTGTTCTTCAAGCATCTGGAATGCAAATTAATAGCTCCTAGAAACTTTTCAAATTTCGTCTTTACAGAGGTTTCAAAGTTTTGCCATTTAAAGTTAGAAACCAAAAGCTCTTTTTATCTATGCTGATTGTGATGATGGGTCTGTTGTGAAAGCAGAAATGTGTTTTAGTTTAGTTTCAGTACTCAGCTGCATCTGTGCAATTCCTAACAATAGCATTACCGGTTACTGTATTTTTATGTGTCTTTTTAAAAAAGTGAACATGACATGAAAGAAGTAATTAACAGTGCTGGAGCTGTAAGTCCTTGATCATGGAACAGATGCAGTGACAACGCTGGCTTCCCTTACACTGCCCCACCACTGTATCTCAACCCTGGCCCAAGAGAACCCAGTCCTCTCAGAATAAGAAGGCAGTTCAGTCTCCATCATCTTTCATTTCTTGGCCTATCAATAGGGCCCTACCAAATTCACGGTCCACATTGGTCAATTTCACCGTCACGCGATTTTTAAAATTGTAAATTTCATGGTGTTACAATTGTAGGGGTCCTGACCCATAAAGGAGTTGTAGAGGGGGTCACGGTACTGCTGCCCTTATTTCTGCATGGCTGCTGGTGGAGGCTCTGCCTTCAGAGCAGCTGGAGAGCGGCGGCTGCTGGCCAGAAGCCCAGCTCTGAAGGCAAAGCCACTGCCAGCAGCAGCACAGAAGTAAGGATGGCATGGTATAGTATTGCCATCCTTACTTCTGCACTGCTGCCTGCAGAAGTGGGCTCTCAGTCAGCAGCCGCCACTCTCCAGCCACCCATCTCTGAAGACAGCTCAGAAGTAAGGGTAGCAGTACTGCGACCCCCCTAAAATAACCTTGTGACCCCCCTGCAATTCCCTTTTGGGTGAGGATCCCCAATTTGAGAAATGCTGGTCTCCCCTGTGAAATCTGTATAGAAAAGCACACTAAAGACCAGATTTCACAGTCCGTGATGCATTTTTCATGGCCAGGAATTTGGTAGGGCCCTACCTTTCAGATAAGACTGCCCACAGGAAGACAATTGTGATGTAGACTTCGAAATGGATCCAGAAAAATCTCTTCCTGGATATATGCCAAAATCTGGAAACAATTACTTTTTTTAAAAAACTTGAAGATGGGTGTCTAGGTGAATTAGCTAGGAGAGGCGGGGGTGGGCAATTAAAAACAGCTTTATATTTTTTCATTCTAATTCTTATTTGCTAATTATGTAGATGAATGCTTTTGAAACCAATTTTTAAAATGCAAATCCTAGTCCACATGGATTTAAGGAGAATATGCAGAGTGCTACATTAATTATTTAATTCCTAAAAACAGCCCACTGGATAAACTAGAGATGAATTCTCACCAGCCCCCACAAAACTAATGCATCTAATTGTATCTTGAGTGACCAGACATGAGTTAATTATTTTGAGCAACAAAAGAATCCTTTAAAATAGAAAAGGCATGCAATATGCTACTATTTATTTACATAATAGACAGAAAGACAAGCAGATGGTGATGTTAATTTCCTAGTTAATCTACACATTGTGAGATTGAGTAAATTATTTAAACAGCATTACTATTTTATCAAACAAATACCTCTTAGGCCAATTCAAAAGCTCTCCTGTGAGAACTGTGTTTGACTTTGAAAATAATTTCTAGCCATCATTTTTATTTTTAATATTCATCATCCAAAAAGCTTTACATTTTGAGATGGTAGATACACCTCTACCCCGATATAACGCAACCCGATATAACATGAATTCGGATATAATGCAGTAAAGCAGCACACGGGGGGAAGGGGGCAGGGCTGCGCGCTCTGGCAGATCAAAGCAAGTTCGATATAACGCGGATTCACCTATAACACGGTAAGATTTTTTGGCTCTCGAGGACAGCATTATATCCAGGTAGAGGTGTATCTTGTTACATTGAGACCTGATCCTAGTGATTTAATTGTCACAAGAGGAAAGTCTGTGGCAGAGGCAGGTATCTAAGTGTTCAGAACTGTATAGTGATGTATCTGCAGAGAACAAAAATGAGTTGGTGATTGCATTTCAACCTGGTTACTACTGAAGGAAGGGACTTGGTTTAGTTCAGACAACACAAAGCTGGAATTCATGCTTTCAAAATTACGCAAATGCCCTTGGCAGGCCCAGGTTCACATCAGAGTGAATATTCATATGATGAAGGAAGGTGGTCAAAACTTTGCTAAATTTTGGAGTCAAACTATAGATATTTATAACAAGATACTCCAGAGGCATGTTTGTTTTCTTTATAATGTTCCATTTGAAGGAGGGGAGGGGAGCATATTATCCAGAAACCTGAAGTACATACTGTGATTAAAACATTACCGTGGCCTGTTATGTTAAATTCTGGATGCTCAGGAGCATACCGATTCATTCAGAGGTTTATTTTTCCTCAGTTAGCAGCTTGCTCAGCCTCTTGTATTTAAATCAGAGCAAGTTCTGAATCTTTCTAACATTCACTTATCTTTGATATTCCCTTATACACTAACTAGAAGTTTCTCTATTTCCCTAAAATTTCACAAGCCCACATCATTTAACATGAATGTAATGTTTAGTCCAATACATGGCTCCATTTTCATTAGGGGATTACAGGTTCTTAAATCCTATGAATCCACCACTTAATCAAAACCTAACTAGCCATACACCTCTGGGGAATTTGTTTTTAAGTCTCTATAAATAGTTTAGAAAAGAGATTGGATACATTAGGAGTTGGATCAGTTCATCCTTAGGATGAAAAGTGACTGTTAATGTTTCAAAACTTTCATATATTTTATTGTCTTAACCACCTCACACAGTATGGCACTCTAAAGTGCTTGTCAAGTTCTTTCTTTGATTCTGTTTTACTGAAGAAATAACTATAATCCCTCCTAGCAATGCACATGTTTTAATGGTTGGGCTATAAATCAACCTATGGCAATATATTTTATTTCTGGAGACCAGCAGGTGCGATATGGCTTTAAGATTAAAATCTGTAAAAACCGTCAGCAAGGAAAAAGGAGGTAGTACAATTGAAAACGTTTTGGAGAGAAGAGCTTTTCCATTAAAATCTGGGATGTTTCCTTTAAAAAAATTGTGCAAAATGTAATTTTTAACCTGAGACCAGCTGAAATTAGTGCTTTGATTCCCCATTATTCTATAAAGAGATAGCAGAAAAAAGATATACTAATGTTACTTTTTTAAAAGTAATGTTTGTTTCAACTATTTGCTTATTTACTGAGTCTTCCAGGTACAGGCTGTAAATCATGCTTTCTCATGCTTTTTTTTTTTTTTATGGCCAAGTGGCTGCTGGAAAGCAAAATAATGTAAATAGGTAAAAACACATGAGCAGGGCATCCAAATAGAGAATATTTTAAAATACATGTACTCAGCTCCATTCTACCTATTTTAAAAATCTTTTTAAAAATCTTTTTTGAACAGAAGTGGAAGAGCCAACCATGTTGGTGGGGTTTTATTTTTCCAAGTTACTGGAAATCAAACCATTTTATTCCTAGATATAAGATGTTGGAGCCTGGCTGGTCTCAGGATATTACAAACACAAGGTGTGTGGGTAATATCTTTTACTGGGCAACTTCTTGAAGTAGTCCAATAAATGATATCACTCACCCACCCTGTATCTCTAGATATAAGTGAGGATTTTCTAAGCCCTGATTTGTTTCAGAAGGGACACAGTAGAATGTTTACTCGTTCAGGGCCCCTATCCTACAACTACATGCACACAGTTCCCTACTAATAATAACCACATCCTGCCTGAGGATGCCAACGGGAATCTGGGTATAAAGTTTCAGGATTGAGGCAAACAATCAGAACTTCCTTTGCACCTATTAAAGATTTATGGAACACGGAAATGGTACCTGTTTGTACAAGCACCATTTTATACACTGCTTTCAAAGTTAAACGTGTATGTCCCTCACCCCAGCCAGGGACCGCATCTGTTTAATCGGATGCAGTTTGTGTGTGCGTGTGTTTGTTTATTTGTTTTTAGTACCAGCTGGACTTTCCTGCAAGGAGAGGGCTCTTGGCTAAGACCCTAGTGCCCTCTAATGCAATACAGCATATACTGCAGGAGGGGACTGGAACAAGACACAGCAGATCACACGGCCCCAGCGTGCTCCCCAATGATTCTAGCACCACGCAGTGTAGCATTCGGGCGAGCCCCGAGCTCGTTTCTGTGCATTCAGACTTGACAGCGTGTGGCGAGACCAGCAGGGCCCTGCTCATCCCAGCCATGGATCCTACCCCTGCACCTAGCGGGCTGGGCTCGTGGCTCCCCGCCCAGCGAGCCTGCAGGGCCAGAGCTCGGCCATAGGCACCAGCGAGCCGGGCCGCCTCTGAATCGGCAGCAGCGCTTCAGGCGCGCTCGGCTCCCAGGCTTCCCGGGGGATGCTCTGGACCCGCGCGGCCCAGGCCGACGCTCCTCGGTCTCTCAGGCGCGGCAGCTGCTTCTCCAGCCGCGGAGGCCAGCTCCTGCTCTGGGCCGGGCCGCGCGGCAGCCGCCGCCTACCTGGAAGGCCGGGGGTTCCTCGGACGGCGGCCACACCGACACGGGTAGGCTCTCCAGCCCCCGGCTCAGGTCCCGCTCCCGCGCGCGGGGAATCACCTCCATGCGTCCCTCCGCCAGCCGGGGCCTAGGCCCGGCTACTGTCGCCATGGCAACAAACCCCACTTCCCTCCACTCGGATTGGCGCCCAAGCGACATGTCCTTGTGTGATTGGACGAGATGAATGACATCACAGGCGGAGACCCGGAAGTGTGCGTTCTCTTAAAGGGACCACAGGTGGGGAGATAGACCGTGGGAGAGGGACTTTCCATCTGACCCACACAGGAAGAGATTTTTGTGTGCGTGTGAGCCACAGACACCTACACACATATAATGGCATTGTGTGTGAGACACAGGCATTCTCTCCGACACTGTGTGTGTGACAGAGACTCACCCACACAGTGGCATTGTGTGTGTCAGTCAGACACTCTCTCACACAATGACATTGTGCGCGTCAGACAGACACAGACTCACACACAATGACATTGTGCGTGTCAGACAGACACAGACTCTCTCACACACAGGCGATGACATTGTGTGTGTTGCCCCAGCACAATCTGACAGGGTGCTGTTGCACCCCGACGTAGTACTATTATTTTTGTTATGTCCCCTTCCTCTCCTAGGCCCTGTGAGGCTTTGTGAAATGACTGTATTTGTAAAGCATCTCAAGGAATCCAGCTGAGAGAGGCCACGTACTGTTACATCCACACAGCGTCCTATTGTGCCATGTCATGGGGACCTAAGCACTGGGACGGGGTGATGCGCCATTTGATCTCTGAGGGCAAATTGCTATAGATGGCCCTCTCATTAGCACACTGGGCAGAGGAGCTGTGACTGGCCATGGAACCAGAATTATCCCTCCATGCACTCAGGTCAAGGTTGGAGCACTTTGAGAAGGCTGCTGTCCTGTACTGCTGCACCTTGACATTGTTGCTATCCTGTTGCACCTAGTTGTGCAGATAAAAGCAAGCCTTGCTCTTGCAACTCCCTCCACATGGGTGACGACTGCACCTGCAGCTGCTTCAACTGCAGGGCTGAGTCCAAAGATCCAACAAGGCACTACCTTGTATAGGCACTACTGCTTATTACTTCGTTGGTTTTATAAAGCAGAATCTGTTGGAAATGCCACAGACTATTAGATGGGTTTTCCTAGAGCTAGTTGGGAAATGATTTTTTTCTACCACTATTTTTCACAGATTTTTTTTTTTTAATTTTCATTTTTTAATTCAAAATTTTCTGTGGAAAATGTTTGGTTTTCCATTTAAGTTGTTGGTTTAAAATTGAAATATTGGGTGGCTGGGTTGCCATTTTTTAGGGTTTCAAGTTTTTCAACAAAAACCTGAATGTTTTCACAAAACTTTCTTTTTTGTTGAAAAAAGCCATGTTCTGTCAAAAAATGTTTTGATAGAAATCTGTAACAAAAAAAAACTACAACTAGTAAAACATTCTTTGTTTTTATTGCTAATTTTTCTGTTACCGTTATTTGGTTTCAATGGATAATAGTTTTACATGAAACTTACCTTAATTTTTCCCTGGCAAAGTTGATTTACAAAGCAAATAAATAGAATGATCAAACAACTTGGTTTATCTTTGTAAAAGGCATCTCTGTGCAACTTGTAAGAACAATTCACCATCAAGAAATTGTGGCTGTACAATGAATATGAATTATTATGGTGAGTTTAAGCAATGTATTTACTGAATGTCATACTTAAAGTCTGTCTTCTCTATACTACACTCAGATTCACTGGTGTAACTGCCACAGTCTTAAAAATAAAATATAAAGTAATACTAGTTTATAATATGTGGTTTACATATTATCAAATAATACCTTAATATGATTGACTTAAAATATTTGCTCATGAAATCACTCATTACAGCAAACTTTTGAAATATAGTAGAACCCCAGAGTTATGAACACCTCGGGAATGGAGATTGTTCGTAACTCTGAAATGTTTATAATTCTGAACACGTTATGGTTGTTCTTTCAAAAGTTTAGAACTGAACATTGAATTAATAGAGTTTTGAAACTTTACTATGCAGAAGAAAAATGCTGCTTTCCCTTTATTTTTTAGTAGTTTATGTTTAACACAGTACAGTATTGTATTTGCGTTTTTGTTTTGTTTTGTCTGTCTTTGTTGCTACCTGATTGTGTACTTCCGGGTCCAAATGAGGTCTGTGGTTGACCGGTCAGTTCATAACTCTGGTGTTCATAACTCTGACGTTCTACTGTAAATAACAATTTTTTTGCATGTTCATAAAAACTGTAGGAAGCAGTAGGTAAGATTAAAAGAATGCTCTTGCATAAATAAAATGGTGAGCTCTCACTTCTGAGAAGAGAGATTTTTCTGTAAAAAGAGCATGCGGCGCACTTTAAAAAAAAACATACATCACATTTGGCTGGGTTATTTTCTCCATATAAGTTACAACCATTGGCTATTTTTAATTCAATCATATTTACCTGACATTCAACAAAATCTTTTACTACTGAATCTTTTTAAACTTTCTTACTGAAATATCATTTGGAACTGTTGAATACTTTAAAACTTTCACTATGAAATTAAATCTCTCTTGCTTATTTTGAAGGTACAGATTTGTGAATGAGTTCTGGATGTTTAATTAGTGTTCTTGTCTCCCCATACAAACATGTTAAATTAACTTTTCTTACTTCTGTATTTGAACTGAGCTAATATATGTTTTTAAAATATCACTTCTGTGGTTGGATGTTCTTTGCTCTCTGTGGTTTTACATGAGAGATATGAGATCAAACTGGAAACTGTAGTCATAATGTGATAACTCTTGACAACAACATTTACAGAAGAAACTAGCATATTTTAAAAAATTAAATTCAAGAGTACAAAGTAAGGGCCAATTCTTCTTCCTTGATTTACCAAAGTAAGGTTTCTATATGAAGGAAGATATGAACAGGAGGTGGAACCAGGCTCTCTCCTTATCTGGGAAGCTTGACATGATTCTGCCAGTGCAAAGCTGCCCTGAAACTGGCTTAGCCAACTACAGGAGGATTACCCATGTGGCAAGATCATCAGGTGGAATAGAACATCTAAGTCTGGTCCTGCACCACCCTTCTTCTGTGGCCAGCATATGCAACAAGACTAAGAGAAGGGGACACTGGCTCAACTTCCCTGTGTCCTGGTGATTCTTAGTAACTCTAATGGTCCCATGGGTGGATCTCCGTTGGCTCATTCTCGTTAGCTGAGCCTGTGACAGATATTTATTCTAGTGCTATAGAATTAAAATTCTAAATTTCCTAGCCAGGTCTGAGCTCCTCAGTGGGCCTGCTACCCGGTGACCTATAAATTTGAAAGCTAGGCAAATTATAATTTTAATTCTATAGCATTAGGATAAATAACATTAATAATGATTCCAGTACTGATCCTACTGATTTCAATTAGAGTGGTAATAGTCCTAGTCAGGATACAAGTGTGGTATAAGTATTGCAACAACTTTAGAAGCTTTTCACATCACCACATTGTGTTCTACAAGAATTATCTCAGCCTATGCATCCAATTTTTGTAGAGCAGATTGGGCAAGAGTGCATCTGAGGCCTGTTTATGGAGATCTTACAGATTAGTAAGGTACATACAGTGGAGTGTGATATAGTAGTTGCTTGTAACATGCTGGAACAGCCTGTCCTTCAAGGGTACCTTTCATGTTAACTTCCTAGCTTGTCTGTGAGGCTTGCCCCTCTAATAAGATATTTCCTCTTAGCATATCTTTTGTGGGGGGGCTGGTCTGTTACATTTGGCAGAGAATATCTGCTGTGACTTATATGTGGCTTCTTTGCAATTACTTTTGGTGCTTGTATCTTCTTTTCTTCTCATTGGTAAGTACTAATAACTCCTCTTGGCAGTTTCTCACAGTGGAGGCAGTAAATTTTGGTTTTTGCTCTACAGAGGAATATTTGTCTATTACATGAGTGGGTGGGTGAGGTTCTGTGGCCTGCAGTGTGCAGGAGGTCAGACTAGATGATCATGATGGTCCCTTCTGGCTTTAAAGTCTATAAGTCTATGAAACCGTTAGGAGAAGTTTTTTTTTCTTTCTGTTCTATACACACACATATTTGGACCAAATGAGATATGTGTGGTGGTTGGCCTGAGATGGGTAGAAAGTGGTTCTTAAGTTTATTTAAACAGTAAAAGAAGAAAGAGTTGCCATTTAATATTGGAAATTTATATAATGTCTGGTAGTTAGAAATGAAGGGGCTGCTCTAGGTAGTAAGTAATAGGTAGAAAATGGGCATTGGTACAATATTACAGTTAATGTGCAGAAACTTAATTTGTAAATGTTTTGCTTTCAAACATTTTTGTCCTTTTAAAAAAAACCTAATTCCATTACACAATTATAATTTTGTTTTCAGTTCATTGAGGCGTCTTTGTCACCACAGTGTTATTTCAGCTATGGTTCCTTGCGGGGAGAGGGGTTAATCTGGGAATTTCCTTTGTTTCTGCTTTTCAAAATATGTGAAATACTGCTATAAGGAAATTAGATGTAGAGTGCTTGTTTTATGGAACTTTATATTTGATTGGTTCAACTGGCAAAGCTTCTTCAGGATGTTTGGGTATGAAGCGGAGATGGAGAATAAGCACAAAAGTCATTACATCTTGCGGGAGAGGTGTTGAAATGATACCTGTGCTCTGACACTAAGGATATAGCTACACTAGAGCTGGCTACTCTTCCATTTTTAGTGCACTAGCTCGATCAGAGCTAGTGTGGCTATGTCTCCTCAAGTTGGAAATTATATCTTCTGGGTCCAGTGTAGACATATGATTGATACCTGATGGAGAGTGAAAGGGGAGGATGTGTATGGCTTTGCAAGGACAGAATCACAGCTACCATAGAGTGAGTGAGTGAGTGCGAGAGAGAGAGTTTGCATGGGATCTTGCTGAGAAATGAATGGGAAGGGAGTGGGGGGAAATGCATGAATTTTACCATTCTGTAATATCCTCTAGGGTTGTGACTCAAAAGATGTTTCTCTAACCTTTTAGTCTACCTCCCCCAGCCTTCTGTCACTCTGCCTCTCTTCCACTCCATTTTTCCTGCTTCCCTTTGCTCCCCCACCAAATCTCTCTTGCCTTCATTTACGTTGCACTCCATGCCTCCTAAGATCCCCATTGCCAGTGGCCTCTTACATAAAAAGAAGCTGGAGCCCAGCTGCCTGGAGGGGGGAGCTGGGGGCGCATCGGTTACATATATGTCACTTTACTGAAGGCATAGTGTGATCTCTAAATCACCCAATTCTGACATGCATGTTAGGGAAATAAATCGGTACTGCCATATCTCCATATTTTGAAGAGATGATAATGGCAACAGCTTTAAGTACTTGCAGCAGGTCTCTTTTAAGATGTTTTTCAGCTCCAG